GTGTTTCCTGTATGCTGAGAAAATGTCAGCTTCCTGACTGCCAGACCTGCTGCCATGCCTTCCCCGCCATGATGGACTGGACCCATTAGCACCACCCCCCAAAAAAAGAATCCTTTATCCCTAAGTTCTTTTGAGTCAGGGTCTTCTATCAAGCAACAGAAAATGACCTGATACAAATCACAGGCCTGGGAGTGCAGGTAGTGGCCCTCCAACTAGGAAACACAAGGACATGGAGATTCTCAGAGTCTCCACATGCCCCACAAGCAGTTTGGCTCTGTTAGACTTTTATTGGACTCCTAACCTACAGAACTGTATTTAACCAACTGTATGAAAATTAAATTGTGGTTTTTGGAGTAGGGCATTTAGGACCATGAGCAGGGTTCTGGTTTGATTGAGCCCCATACTGAAAAAGGAGGAGGAGGAGAAAAGAAAAGCAAGATTGTTTAAAGTCATTGCATTGGCAGTTGTCCTAGCTGGTTTTGTTACTATGATTAAGAAAAACAAAAACATGACCAAGGCAACTAACTTTATGAGAGAAAAAAAATATTATGGCTATGGTTCAAGGGGAATAAGAATCCAATATGGTAGGCCCGCCACACTGTCACCAACTGAGAGCCAAGTGTTCAATACCTGATAACTATGGGCACATTCCTCACTCAAACCACCACAGTAGTTCTTAGCTGAAGCAGCAAAAGAGGACGGCACAAGCATTTGCTGGACCTCTACCTTCATATATATTTTAGGTGTTTTGTTTTGTTTGTAGTAACCTAAGAAATACTTTGTTGTCCTTGTTTGGTTTTTGAGACAAGGTTTCTTTGTGTAGTCTTGGCTGTCCTGGAACTCGTTCTGTAGACCAGGCCGGCCTCGAACTCACAGAGATTCACCTGCCTCTGCCTCTCAAATGCTAGGATTAAAGATGTGAAGCAGAAATACAATTTTCAAAAATACTTCATTTTTACCTGAAGGGCATGCCTGCCTAGCATGGGGCATAATACATTTAACTTGAAAGGCAATTATATGCAGTGATACTTTGTGAAAGAAAGTTTAAGTAATAAAGTAACATTTATTCTCAAAGTTACAAACATTTAAAAACATAGTGCACGGCTCCATTAAAGATGGCTTGTCTAGACCAGTTTCTGTTAAAAATCTTTATATTTAACCTTTAAGAATGCTAACAGGGGGCTGGAGAGGTGGCTCGGTGGTTTAGAGCACTTTTTCTTGCAAATAACCCAGGTTCAACTCCCAGTACCCACATAGTGGCCCAAAATGGCTGGCTGTGACTCCAGCTCCAGGAAGCCCAGTGCCCTCTTCTGGCTTCTGTGGCTATATACATACATCCAAGCAAGACATTCATATACATAAAATAATAAAAATGTAAAGATGTCAAAAAGCATACGGCGGTGAGATGGCATAACCCTCACAAAGAAACAACTGACTGCAGTCAGAGGTTCTCAACCTGTGGGTCGGGACCCCTGGGGGGGGGGGGGGTCAAATGATCCTTTCACAGGGGTTGCCAAAGACCATTGGAAAACACAGATATTTGCATTATGATTCATAATGGTAGCAAAATTATGAAGTAGCACCAAAAATAATTTTGTGATTAGGGGGTCACCATAGCTTGAGAACTTTATTAAAGGGCCACAGCATTACAAAGGTTGAGAACCATTGCTCAAGTAAATACATAACTCCAAGTGATAATAATAAGAATTCTTAAAATACTGCCAACATTTACAAAAATGTTCTTCATACCAGCATACACAAATCTAAAATCAGATTAGAAAAGTAAATAAAATGCATAGGAATTTTTAATGAGAATTCTCTCCATGCTTCAGCTAGAGAACTTGTCTAGCATGCACCCTGGGGTCAACCCCTAGCATCACATAAAACCAGGTGTGTTTACGGAAAATATATAATTCCAGCACTTCTGTAACCGCCCCCCCCAGAAGATGGAGGCAGGAGGGTCAGAGAAGTTCCAGGCCATCCTTGGCTACACAGTAAACTCAAGGTCAGCCTGGGACACATGTGCCCCTTTAAAAATAATAATAATTCTAAACCTTCCAAACAATGTAAAGGTAGAATAGTTTAAATGATTCCCAGGGGCTTCGAGCACAGTTCAATGGTAGAGTTTTAACCTAGCATGTTCCTGACCTCAGGTTCCATCCCCTGCAACACACACACACACACACACACACACACACACACACACATACACACTACATTTTATAGAGTACCCAATATTTTGAGCAGGGCGGTTAGCTCAGTTGGTGCAGTACTTGATTTCCAAGCCTGAAAACCTGAATTTAAACCGCCAAACCGGCATCAAAAAGCTAAACACCTAGGCACACACTTGTAAGCCGAGAGCTGGAGAGATAGAGACAGAAGGGTCCCTAAAGCTTGCTGGGTAGCCAGCTTAGCCTACCTGGCAAATTCCATGCCAGTGAAACCCCCTGTCTAGAACTATCACACCAGCTCAGGTTTGCCTTCTGAGCTTAGTGCTGAACCCAGTCTCCAGCAAAGAATGCTCCAGCAGAGAAGGGCCTTGCTTCTTCAGGCAGTAGATAATGCAGAAATCTACAAATAGCCAAACAAACAAGCATAAGTGATGGCTATGTGTGTAGACACAAATGGAACAGCTGTGTCACTTCCTCCAAGGCTTAGGGAACATCCCAGAAGCAAAAAAAAAATTGGAGAAAATGGAGTGTAACAAAAAAGTATCTTCTGATATGCAGCTGTGGTTTCTGATAGCGACTTTCACAAGTCTGGGCTGATCACACCTCACCATGGATGAGGGAGGAGGGAGGAGGCCTTGAGACTACTGACAATTAACATTTGCTGAGGCAGAGGGGTGTCATTTTCCTCAGTGGTATAGTCACAGATAAACTGCCCCTGCGCCCTTGAATAACCTCCCACCCACATGCAGGCAAGTGACTAATTAAACTGGGAGGGCCACATGTAAAAATAAGAAAAGAGGTAGGAGGGGCTTGTTGAGAAGTGTGCCAGCAGGGGAGGAAGGGGGCAGGTGAGAGGAGGAAGGGTGAGTAACTAAAATTCATCTTTTAAGAAGGAGATAGTGCCTGAGATACAGCAACTGAAATTGACCTGCACAGAGAGAGAGAGAGAGAGAGAGAGAGAGAGAGAGAGAGAGCATGAGAGAGCATATGAGTGTGAAACTTTCCTACAAGCATGTCATAAAGACGTGTCCACCCACCAACACATCCATCAACAACCTGTATGTGAGCATCTACACACTGGGCTCTGGGGATTGTGCCCAGTACACTGACCATAGTAAGAAACATCTATTATTAAACTACAACTTTAGTCCATAACCTCTTATTTCAAAACAAGTTTAAAGAAATGCAGAATGATTGAAGCTGAAGGAAAACAAACAAACAAAAAAAAAATCACTGAAGTTAAGAAATCACTGAAATAAAGTGACATCTCAGAAAACAATTAGAAATTAAAGGGAATGTCAGTCTTCTCATAATCTAATCAGTAACCTTTTTGGTGAATATAGGACCTAGCAAATGAAATGAAAAATATATTTTATTAAGAGTCTGATAAACCTAAATAAATCTGTCTTTTCTACCAAAAAAAAAAAAAAAAAAAACCCAAAAGGAACATAAGAGGAAATATAACTCACACCACCTTCAAAAATAATTAAAAGGTCAGGCACAGAGCAGAGATAGGCCTGTAGCTTTGAAGCCAACCTGGGCTACAAGTCAAGACAAAAGAGAGGAGGAGGGAAGAAGGAACAAAAGAGCATCAGAGGCTGCCTATTCTGAGCCAAAGAACAGGGACAGTGGTCTGGGAATGCAGATTCAGGCTTTGTCCCAAATAACATATTCTAGAGTAGAAATAGTTACGTAAGTATTTATAGTCACAGAGCAGAAGTCATACATCAAGGAATTTCAGTCCTTTGGAGGGAAGATCAGATTGGCAGACTGAAGCAACACAGTGAAGTTTTGACAGGTTTCAAAAGCTGCCAGGTAACATTCTGAACTGTGGGATGTTAGAAGCTCGTGGTCTGTTAATGCAGTCCAGTGGTCTGGGGCTTTGTTTGGTTGGTCGGTTTGGGGTTTTATTTTATGTGTATAGGTATTTTGTTTGCATTGTAGGTCTGTGTACCATGAGTGCTTGGTGCCTGAAGGGGTCAGAAGAAGATAACATAGCCCCTAGATCTGGAGTTACAGACAGTTGTGAGCTGCAGTGTGGGTGCTGGAAACCAAATCTGGGTCCTCACAACTGCTGAGCCATACTCCAGCCACATTCCTAGACTTTCAAATGGATTTCTGGAAGATGTTAGGCCATTAATGTGAACAATGAATGGTTAGTCTGGGGACTAAAGGGAACCCAAGGTAATGTGGCTGTGGGTATAAAACATTGTTACTAGGGAAACCTGAGTTTCCTGTTGTAGGTTTGGTTTGGTTTTGGTTGGTTGGTTGTCTTTTTTTTTTTTTTTTTTTTTTTGTTTCTTGTTTGTTTTTGGTTTTTTTTTTTTTTAAGGTTTTTCTTATAGTTTACTGTATAAAACTCAAGAAAAAAATTACTTATCGTAAAGCCAATAAATTTTTATTTTTATTTAAGGATTTTCAATTCCTCTGCTGTCCATCCAGGTCACACAGATTCAAGGTTTCTGAACATAACTCTCCCTTAAAGAGAGACCCTGCCCCAGGAGGGCTGTGAATCCTTTGCTCTTTTCTTTCTCCTTGAACTAAAGATGCATAGCTATGGCAACTTCAATGTTCTCCACCAGGAGATTACTGGCAATTTCTTCAAACCATTTTCTTTAGGAACCATTTTAAGGTAGGCCTCTCACTTGCTGACAACCCTAGGGAGCAAAGGAGTAGGCAGTGGTCCTTCAGCGGGTGGCAGCGCTTGGCACCAAGCCTCAAGACCAGAGTTGTAAGTTTGATCTCAGTGTGGGTCCTGGGAACAAGTTGCTCTCTGACACTCCCACAGGGTGCCCATACCCACAATAAATATATCCAGCATAACATAAAAACTGTATCATTAGAAGAACCAGGTTAAACATAGCAAGAACCAAAGGCAAGGAAAGCAATGATCCCAGAGAGTGGATTTCCTTTTGTACTGTCTTTTAAACACACCAACAGGAGAAGACTGCTGGGTCAGATACCATGTGTGTAGGTTCTTAGTCTCCTCACTGAAAGAAACAAAATCCACCCAAAAGTGTTGGAACAGAATAATCTTGGTGTCATACAAACAGAACAGAAAGAGTAGCTCAGGAAGACAATTTCTTATAATAATAATAATAATAATAATAATAATAATAATAATAATAATAATAGGTGCCCGCTCATAAAAGCAGGCAATCTCAAAAGTAAAGATCTGCAGCCATTCACTGCCTCAGAGGAGGAGCTCCAGGAATGCATAGCTATTCTGCTTAGTGTGTCTTCAGATAACTCAGCTTTCCTGAGGGATGGGTTCCTGGCCAGCTAATTGTCAGGCCCAACTAGAATACCCAAGGGAGGAGATGGGAGAACGTTACATTCTAACTCTTGTGGAAGATCAGAATGCCTCATCTCCACACTGTTTCCATTCCTTGGACCCTGTATCAAAGTCTCCATTCAATTCAGATTTCACTTTCACGGATTTACACACCACCCACTTAGGAGCTCTATGCAGGGCCTCCAACCTGCTACATCACCTGGCCTCCATGGCTTCCTGGAGCCCTGATGGAAGCCACAAGTTTTACAAAAAAACAAAACTGAAGTTCAGGAAGGCGGTAGGGACCAGCGATGAGGGTGGTGAAAGAATTCACCTGATCAGGAAAGGGCAGAGAAAGGTGGTTAGTAAACACCAGGCCACAGCGGGCAGGACAGAGAAGCTGCCTTCTACAGGACTGCACTCTGGGGAGTATTTCTAAAGGGAAAGTCAGGCTGTGTTTTAATGCCACAGTGCCCTCAAACCATTTCAATTAAGGCTTATTATGTCATCAACAGCCTGGCCTTGAGGCAATGAGACTCAACCATGACCACAGCCCTAAACAGTTCTCCACATCAACAAGATAAATGTGTCTGCAGCTGCCAGACCAAGTGTTTGGTCTGAAGAAGTGATGAATGAGACTAGTAAAACCAGTTCAGCCAGTTGCTGCAACTAATTCAAAACTGCTTCCTAAAGCACTCTCCACAACAGATAATTCATGGAATCCGCCTTCCTACCCAGCAACAGAGGATGGTGTAAGGGAAATGTGGTCCACATATACACAGCTGAATTTCTCAGCCATGATAAAGAAGAATTGTGTCATCTTCAGGAAAGTGGATGCAGGGAAAGATGATTGATTATACGGAGTGTATTAAGCCAGTCTCAAACAAATATATTCTCTCTCCTTTGTCTTGATGCAAAAGCACGAGGTCTTTTATATTCCAGTGCACTGGGGTCCAGGACTGGGAACCCTGGGTACAGGGTTCAGACAGCTTTTATAGGGTTACAACAAAGCCCGCACATCACAAACCAATCATCTCATAGCATCCAGTGTGGACCAATCAATTTGGACTATCCCAGTGCGCGCTTTGCCCAGGAAGTCTGCTTTCGCTAGGGCTTCTGGGTAGTGTGGCACGGCTCATTTCCTGTTCTCATTCACTCACAGGTGCTGTAGGTAAACCGCCCTGTCAAGAATGACCTTTTTCCTACTCACTGCTAGGGGGCAGAGTCTAGGGAGAATTAGGCTAAATTTTTCCATCCTTACAAAACCATTTAGGGGAACAAGGGGACTAGTTCCCTAATTCTAGGAGGGGGAGGTAGAAAGAAGAACAGAGAACACAATATATACTTGTAAAAATCCTTTGGGGGAAAAAATCAATTTGTTTCTTAAACTCTGCTTGGTTTTAACTTTGTAGCTTGTTTTTTTTTTTTGGTCTATAGTTGAAACCTAAACTACTAGCCAAGCCAGGCATAGCAGCACTTCAGAGGCAGAGGCCAATGGATAACATGTTCAAAGCTGGCCCTGGTTGTATCATAACAAGACCCTCTATAGGGAGTATGGAAGAAAAATAAAGACAAATAAAATGTTATCTCTGTTTGGAGATTTTTTTTTTTTTTTTTTTTTGGTTGGTTAACTTCTGGTGTGTGTGTGTGTGTGTGTGTGTGTGTGTGTGTGTGTGTGCTCATGTGACACTGAATTGAATTATATCATCTAGACAGGCCTTGAAATCTGGATCCTCCAGCCTCCTCCCCACCCCAGGTGCTGGGATCACAGAAGCATATCACCATGCCTAGCACTGTTAAATTCTTTATTTACCGCCACATCTGAAATGCACAGTAAAGTGTCTTGGACAACATAACTGATCAACAGGTGACTAGACTTGGATGTTTCATGAAGAAAATAAAAGTTAGCAGTTTGTTTTGATGGGGATTTGAGGGTGTTTCTCTGTGTGTCTAGGTGAGCAGGGCACCTGGCTCCTGCGACTGCTGTCATTTAAGAGCTTGGGATATATGTCACTTCTGCAGACAACTCCATAGCCAGCATTCCTGATGAAGGAATGATCACTGTAGGGCAGAGATGTGGCTCCTCAGCCTTGCTCTGGATTATCCAGGAAATTGTTAAACACATACATGTTTGCCTTTGTGAATTCCTGACCCTCATTTGTATGCACATCTCCTCTGCAGATATGATTTCCTACATGAGTATATGAGGTGGAAATAGGATTCTGGACTACAAGAAAAAGTGTTAAGATTCCTGCTGTTTTTCAGTGAAGAGGTAGAATCTAAGGTCTCACACATGCTAGGCCAGCCCTTTACCACAGACCTGCACTCCGACTCCCAACCTTGATTTAATTTTTTTTTTTTTTTTTTTTTTTGGTTTTTTGGTTTTTGAGACAAAGTCTCAAAGTTGTTGGTCCCTGCATGAACCCCCCAGGCACATTGAGCAAGCCTAAAGCTGTTGGCTGAACTCCTTGCCCCAAGGCTGTTGTTGGTACTCTTCCCGTTTTGATAATGAAAAACCAACAGAGCGTGGACCCTCACACCCCGACTCAGGAAAGGTGGCCCCCCCAAATCACTCACAAGAAGCGGTCTTGATGTAAAAGCATGAGGTCTTTTTATATTCCAAGTGCACAGGGGTCCACAGTCATGTGCCAAGCAGGGGTAGAGGACTGAGGACCACCAGGGTGATAGTAAGATAGCTTTTATAGGATTACAACAAAGCCCGTGCATTTTAAACCAATCATCTCATAGCATCCAGAGCCCTCGTGGTGTAGACCAATCAATTTAAACCATCCAAGCCCACATTCCATAGACCAATCAGTTTCCTATAGCCCCGGAGGTCTGCCCTTTCGTGGCTCCTGGGTTATAGGTCCTACCACAAACCACAAAGAATGTGACCTTTTACCTATTTACTGGCTGAGGGCAGGGTCTGGAATTTAAGGTTCAAACTTCTAGCTTCCTGTGGTCAGTGGGGAGTTAGGTTGTATTTTTCCATTCTTATACTAGGTAGACTTAATGGACTTGATTCTATTGCCTTGATATCTATTTGTGAGTATGAAGAGGATTTGATCAGCCATACAACTGTTTCTTTTCCAAATCTTTTGCCTTTTACTAAAGGGTCTCACTATGTATTTGTGGCTAACCTGGAACTTGCTAGACCAGGCCGGCTTTGAACTCACAATCTGATAGTTTCTGCCTATGGATTAAAGAAATACAAATCATGCCCAACTGGATTCCTATTAAGTTTGTTTGGGTTGAGAATATAGGGCAGCTTTAAAATACTTGCTTAGCATATGTGAGGCTCTATGGTCAATTATCAGGATTGAAAAAACAAAAAGACAAACAGAAGAGGAAGGAAAGAGGGAAAGGAGGGAGGGAAAGAGAAGAAAGAGAAAGAAAGGAAGAGAAAGGAAGAAATAACAAAAAAGGAAAGAAGGAAGAAAGAATAACAAAAAACTTGGAATGATGTCTATATAACCTCACATGCATGCATTTACCTGCAGAAATCAGAAGAGGCTGTTGGATCCCCTGGACCTGGAGTTACAGATGGTTGTATCAATTCTGTGCTGGGAACCTAATCCAGGCTACAGAGAGCAGCACATGCTTAACTACGGAGCCATCCTGCCGGGCCCCATGCATCATTTTTTAATGTATGAATGCGGGGATTTGTGTTTTCCTTGAACACTTAACATTTTAAGAATATAGATGTAACTGCTTAGTTAGAAAAAGGATTTTCTTTTTTTTTTTTTTTTGGACTGACCCGAAACTCATTATGCAGCCAAAACTTAAACTCTTGCTCCTCCTACCTCTTGCTTCCAAGTGCTGGAATTACACATATGCCACCACAACTGGCTTGCCTGTGTAATTTCAATATGCTAATAGTTATACTGCACTCACCACTAAACCCACTACAACTATGTAAACTCAGGAAGAACAGTTTAGAGACAGCTTAGGGTGAGTGAGGTGCTACATGGTGCTTGTGTTGTTTGTAGGCCCCGGAGTCAGTATGCTAAGCACTGGTTCTTACACTACACAGAAACTCCCCCTCGGTCACGTGATCCGTGCAGCATCCCTTTAAAGTCGAGCGACTTTAAAGGAAGTTTAAGCTTACTGAGCCAGCGACCTTTATCACAGAAGCTTCTTCTTACAGTGACAGTAACTAACAAAGAAGCCCACAACTGGACAGCATGCAGAGAGAGACACTTTGCAGTGCTCTGGCCGAAATGGGATGTTTTTACCAAAGCCGTCCTCTCCAGGCTCAGGGACGTTTGTGGAAGAGGAGGCAGAGAGGGTGTAAGAACCAGGGATAGTGAATGACTCCCAAGGAAACATGGTCTTCCAGACACACTAGGACTGATTCACATATGAAGTCACAGACCGTGACGGCACACAGTAGACCTGCACAGGGTCAAACCAGACAGAATCCCGGCACTGATGAGGGGAAGTGGACACAATGTCTCACCCTTAACCTAGAAGCTGTTTGCAATTGATAACTGCTGGGAACCGAAAAACCAGTTTTCTCCAGTAGAGAGTCACTGGGTGTGTCGATCACACTGCAGGGCAGGCTCCGTACCCTGGAGCAGTTGAAAAATACAAACACGACTCCATTCAGAACTGGGATCGATATGTAAAATAAGAAAAATAAATAATAATTTAAAAAAAGACTCCATTTATGGATGCTTTTGCTTTGGTATTTTTTCTTT